CTTTATACTTCCAGGTCAGTGACTCAAACCTTGTCCAATTTGCCAGTGTACTAGGCAAATGAGTAGCATGGAGATTGGCAATTGCAGCCCAGGAAAGGTTTATTTTAAAGGTTTATGGCATGTATGCTAGTGCTAGATTATGTATATTGGGACTTTTGACAACTTCTTTACCTTTTTTCTCAAACATAGCCATACATTTAAAAATGTTTTCCCTAAAGTTGCAATGTAAACTAGGGTGATAGATATCAAATCTGAGAACATTTGCTCATCCAATTCCAGCATCATCTATTAGCAGATACTGTATGTATATTTCTGCTTCACTTAGGACTAGATTAATAGCAGACAGCACCAGCAATTCATGCAAAAATAAGTTGGATTTAGCCACAATTTGCTCATAATCTAATTGATCGCATTCTCTCCTGATTATTTCCCTTTTATGTTGCACTACCCCTGACAGGGCCACTTGTTGATGATGGTCAAAAGCACAGTCACTGCAAACTTCCTAATAGCGGCAGCACAAATAATGATGACCAAAGTTATCCCTCGCTAGTTCACAGGCTGGCAGCACACTCAGAGCACATTTCAGACATAAAGAGCAGTACACAGTCACCAGGATCTTACAAAAAAGTAGTAATCATGAGGCCAGGGGAGCAACTATGCCCATTCAGCTTCTACCAGGTGCCTTCTAGTGAGGCAGTGCAGACTAAATCCTTAGTTGAAGTTTCGGGGTGTTGAACATACTTGCAGGTGTAGGCCCCCCTGGCTCTGTCAGAGCTAGGACCTCAGTGAACAACAGATTGAATCAGTAGAACACCCAGACAGACAGAATCTCTTTAACAGAAAACCCTTGCTGTTCTAAAGCTCAGGCTATTTATGGACACCTCAGACACCCTCTGGGCACACCTCTCCAGGGATTGTCTGTCGCACCATAAATATCCATGCTACCTATTTGCCATGGTCCACTTCTATGCTCTAGAACTCTCTAGAAGGCAGGGGAGAGCAACCAAACTTACAGGCTGTGAAATCAAGAATGGCCAAAAGAGAGCAACAACTGCTCCACTAAATTAGCCTAATATGAATGAGGGAAGGGAAGATGTCTGCCCATTCTCAAATAAGTTGAGGAGGCTTGGACATGCCACTATAACCTGCCACCAATGAGAGCACAAACTTGTTAGTTTTGTCCTTCACTCTGTTTGGTTAAAAGATGCAAAATTCCACATGCAAGAAAAGGCACCTCCTGAGAACCTGCTGTTGTTGTTATAATTGGCCCCAAAATCATAGGTAATGCAAACATTTGCATTGTTTATGGCCACCTTTAACCTGTCATTTGTTAGTCACTCAACAATGATGTAAACATGCTTGGACCACATCAGCTTGGAAAATAGCTTTTTGTTGCTATAAGATAGAAAAAATATACATATGTAGTCTGAGGGCCTACCAAATCAGGGAATATTCTCTAACACTTGTAGATAAGATATCTGCACGAGGTCTCCAACCTGCACACGCCATTATCATGAAGTTTCAATTTTGAAAACAAGACTCTTCTTGTTGTATCAGAAGTAGAGAGACTCTGTTGTGAGATGGGGTGAAGCCAAGGACTATGGCAGGATGAATTCTGAGAATTAGCCAGTGAGTGATTTGGGCCATCAGTGTCAACCCATAAGTGAAATATTGGTTTTGACCAGAGACACCAATAAAACTACCCACGAGGAATATATCTTTTCGTTGGCTCATCAGCTAAAACTATCAAGCAAATCAAAATTCCTCTACAAAAAAGCAAATGTTACTATGCACGGCACTGTTCAGCTCGGCAATGAAATATGACAGCTTTTGTTGAAGAAAAAAATCAGACTGTGCAAAGCTATTTATCATGCATATTTTAAAAAGACAATTCTGGCAGTTATTATATTGATGGAAAATACAAGAAACGACAAGAGGACATTTGGTCTAGCAGAGTCATTTTGGAACAGAATTACATAATTGCCTTTCGGAACACATTAATCACAATTCATACATCCAATTGCGAATGTGTTATTCTTAAATGCTAGTTTTGAAATAACTCCAGGACAGGTAATTGCATAGCTTCACCTGGCAGTGTGCCAGTCGCAGTGTTTATGAAAGGCCTAAATTTACACTGTGTTCCCTTTTACTCTTTACGGGAGTTTTTGGTTAGAATAGGTGTGGATCGGTTTTACATTTTCTTTCTTTTAAAGGCAGGACAAGAACATGTTTGTTCTTTGCTAGTTCCTATTAGAGTTGCAATATTTTTACATTAAAAATATGGTTGAAATTAGATTTTAAAAATTTGGTTTCAGTTCTAAAAATACAATTAAAATGAATTTTTAATATTTTTCTTAGTTTATTGTGGAATACTGCATATGACTATTTCATGCTTACATTTATGGCTGTCAGGTAGGGCTTGCAGATCATTTTTACGCATTCATCTGTCAAAATTGTCTTGCATTGCTGTTGTTTACTCAAGCTCAAGCTTCAATATACACATACAACTGTATGAGTTTCAAACATAGAGAGAGTATCTAAAGGCAATCTGCTTCTTCTATTCTTTCAGTTTAGAAAATTGTCAAAATCCAGAGTCATGGATACTCCTACACAGGGGCGGACTGACAACTCATGGGGCCCCCGGACAATAGGGGATCATGGGGCCCCTGTGTCCTTGCCCAAACTCAAAAAAGCCTATGAAAAAGGTACCAAGCGCATCTCATGGGGCCCCCTACTGACCCCGTGCCTTCGGGCAGTGCCCGAGTTTCCAAAATGGTCACTCTGCCCCTGCTCCTACATTAAAAGCCTATTTATAAAACAAAAGTTTTATACATGTAGTAAAAAAAAATATATAAAACAAGTCTGTAACATCCATACCTTTTTCAAGTGTCTTTCCTCTGATTGCACAAAAAAACATAGAATTTAATACTCCAGATAAATTTCCCAAATCAATTTTTAGAACACATGAAACTCAACGTAACAGAAATGCTCCTCTGTCTGATGGTCTTCAAAACAAACTACTTGTCAAGGTCTCAAAAGCAACAGCAATGTTGACATGAGGAGCTACAAAGAAAAAGTTGTATTAACACTTCATGAATTAATAACACTCCTCTAAGCAAGATGATATTTTCAAGCCCACATGTTAGTTATATGCAGTACTGGATCTGGTGTGAGTTTAATTCTTGCTATGCAGGATGTGAGTCAAAGGCAATGACTCTCTGTAGGCTGCTCACAAACATTAGTAAAGCCTCCAAATGATGCTTCAAATGGGATTTAAGGACTTGGAAAGAAAGGAGCACCACAACAAGAAAAGTTCAAATAAATTACTGTTTATCCTTTATTACTCATCATGTGAGTGAGGTGCAGCGTTGTGCGCTAGGTAGCAATATATTGTGGAAAAGTTCAATAAGACAAACAGGCTCAGCGGGGAAGCACACCTCTCTGAAGCCACTTACAACTGTAACAACGATCGAACACGGGATTGAAGGATGGAAGATCCCTCAGCATTGTCTTGAGGAGCAGAATGCGGCCTGACCGATCCACACGTAAAGGAGGAAGGCTGCCTGAAGAGGTAGGCGTAGTCCCTGCACTGTTTCCTACTTCTTCTGAACCTCTCACTGTCTCTAAGCACTGTCTCTGACAGAAGAGGAATCTATCTCTATGCTAGCCGCTCACAAAAACATGCCAAGCCTAGGAGCCAGAGTCTTAAGTAGACTCTGCTTGACCTAAGATGGCCACCAGAGGCACACGGGGCACCATCATCCAATCCATCCAAAAGCTGCCTCCTTGTGACCGAGGAAATCATAGAGAAACTAAGTTCCTCTAAACACCCTCCCCCATCTGCACTGCCGCTACGGTCGAGCACCAACAGACTGCACCTGCCTACACTCATAAAAGACAAGCTAACTAATTTTAGGGAATTCAGGAGTCCCTTCATCGGGGTTCTATAAAACCTTGATTTGAACAACACTGGGTTTGAATGGGTTAAAAATAATTCAAAGTAATACAGCAAAACTCTTCAAGGAAAACATGTTTGAGCAGCTGATGTAGCAACCTGTGTTGCATCTTAGTGCTGCTGAATTCTTGCAGGCTATTTGTAGTCTCTTTCTGATGGTGAAATCAGTGGACGATGACTATGTAACACGTGCAGATATTACAACCTTTAGCATGGGTTCACACTGATGCGGTGCAGAATACGCAGCGTTTTCTGTGCAAATTCCGCACCGCATCAGGTTTGCACCCCGTTCATGCGAACCGATGCGGGTGTGTATGTATTAAGTTAACAACACCCCGAAATCGGTCCGCAAAATGCTGTGCGATGTGCAGAATTGGATCTCATAGATGTGAATACCCATGCGATCTGATTCTAGTGCGGACCCAAAATAGGGTCCTGCACCTTGTTGGTACGGATGCAGTGCGATTGGAGCCATACAAAATGTAAGGCTCCAATTGCACTGCACACAAGTCGCATGTGATTTGCACAGGAATTCAGTGCGGTTCCTGTGCGAATCACATGCGATGTACCGCACCGCATAAGTGTGAACCTAGCCTTAGTCTCCAATGGACGCCCATGTGACAGGATGACATTGCAGGAGGACAAATGAAAGACAGGGACAGAACATTGACACACTAAACTGGAAGAGTTTACATATATTTTAACAACAAGACCAAAATTTCAGCTTTTTATGCAGAGATGTTTTTCAGTCAATTGTGTCCATTTATGTATTGTTTATATCGATTTCCAACCCTATTAACCTCTTGCCGACCACGCATAGCCGAATGACGGCTTCACCGCGGCCGGCCAGTTCTGAGTGGACGTCATATGACGTCCTCCCAGAACGCGCTCTCCTGCGCAGCCCCAGGGGGCACGCACCCGGCGATCTCCGTGATCGCTGTGTCCTACGGACACAGCTGATCACGTGATGTGGTGAAAGGCCGATCCCACCGGCCTTTTACCACGTGATCAGCGGTGTCCAATGACACGCTGATCACAGGGAAATGCAAGTGCCGGTTCTCGGCTCCACTTTCCTCACGCTGTCAGATCGTGAGGAAAGTACTGCCGAGAACCGGCAGTTGTCAGAGCGGGGATCGGCACCGATCATCAGGGCACTGATGATCAGTGCCCTGATGATCGGTGCCCAGCAGTGACACCCGCAAGTTCCGCCCAGCAGTGCGCCCACTAGCCCCGCCCACCCGTTCCCAGCAGTGCCCCCACCTGTGCCCAGCAGTGCACCCACCTGTGCCACTCTGCAGTGCCACCTACCTGTGCCCAGAAGTGCCACCTACATGTGCCCAGCAGTGCCACCCACCTGTGCCCACCCACCTGTGCCCACCAGTGCCACCCACCAGTGCCCACCAGTGCCACCCACCTGTGCCCACCCACCAGTGCTGCCCACCAGTGCCACCCACCAGTGCAGCCCAGCAGTGCTGCCAGTCAGTGCCACCAGTCAGTGCCCAGGGGTTGTGCCAGTCAGTGCCGCCAGTCAGTGCCCAGAAGTGATGCCAGTCAGTGCCGTCTATCAGTACCCATCATCAGTGTCACCTATCAGTGCCGCCTATCAGTGCTGCATATCAGTGCCGCCTATCCGTGACCCCTAATTAGTGCTGTCTATCAGTGCCGCCTATCCGTGCCACCTCATTAGTACTGCCTATCAGTGCCCTTTAGTGCTGCCTATCAGTGCCCATCAGTGCCGCCTATCAGTGCCCATCAGTGCCGCTTCATCAACGCAAATCAGTGAAGGAGAAAAAATACCTGTTTGAAAAATTTTATAAAAGAAACAAATAAACTTTTTTTTTTTTTTTCAAATTTTTTGCACTTTTTTTAATTTATAGCGCAAAAAGTAAAGCGCCCAGTGGCGATTAAATACCACCAAAAGAAAGCTCTATTTGTGAGAAAAAAATGATCAAAATTTCATATGGGTACAATGTTGCATGACCGCGCAATTGTCAATCAAAGTGCGGCAGCGCTGAAAGCTGAAAATTGGCCTGGTAAGGAAGGGGGTATAAGTGCCTGGTAGGCAAGTGGTTTAATCACTGGCATCAAATCATATGGCATATTCACAGAAGTTGTAAGACAGTCAGGGGGGTAGAAACCAGGAGTGGACTGACAACTCATGGGGCCCCCAGGCAATAGGAAATCATGGGGCCCCTGTGTCCTTGCCCAAACTCAAACCACACCCAAAAAAGTCTATGAAAGGTACCTGGGGCATCTAAATGCCGAGTGCCTAAATGGTCAGTCCACCCCTGGTAGAAACAAGTTATAGAGACAGTACAGGCTATGGAAAGGTATCTTTCTAAGGACAAGGATTTGCCGTGGTCTTCTTTCTATGCCCAATAAAAACAATGTCCAATGTCAGGCTTGTTGCCTTTTTACACATAGCCCATAACTGTTATCTCTGATAAGCTTACATGCGAAATAGTCTCTTAGTTTTTGCAATATGTTTGAGTGGGTCACATCACTTGTAGTAATCATGTGTGTGTGGTTCTGTACACATGGGTGTAACAAGGGACACTCAGTGCCCAAGTCCATGTACAGTCTGGATACAATACACAAGAAAGACTGTATTAAGCAGATTGTCTCAATACACACAGGAGCTTAACAAAGCATTTGTTTTGCTTAGGTCTACCCTGCATTCTCTGGAACACTGCCTTGTTTTTTTATTTTGGCATGTCAGTTTAAATACATTTCTGTATCGAGTGATACATTCATTTTATCAATCCCAATGTTGCTACTTGGCACTCTTTACACATTTTTGTTGTGCTAATCTTTCTCCAAAAAAGATCCCCTGTTTGTAGGCTGTTGTAAAACAACTACAAAACACCAAACTGTTGTTTGCTTTGATTAAGGGGGACGTTTATAATGGAGTCCGGCTATTGATATCCACTTTCCTAAATATACTGCAAGGTTAATCCACAGGGCAGTTTGCATTTTAAATTTAATTCAGAGCATGCAGTGTCTCACTGATTTTTTTTCTAATTAAAAGAGAAGTATTGGATTTTTTGTTTGCATACTGTAACTAGAGCAATACAGTGCTACCATACTGACACTGTGCTACTCAAGGGAAGTGATCAGGATTTTTTTTTTACACGCTGTGATTGCTTATAACTATTATAAGCAGCCATTTTTTATGAGTGACATCCATTCATCCAGTGTGTACTATTGTGAAGCTGTGATTGGCCACAACTATCGCATGGTACATATGTACTATAATTGGTCCTGTCTGTACCATGTGATCACTGTGACCAATCACAGCTTCACAATAGTACACACTGGATGAATGGTCAACACAGTAGTACACAATGAATGGCTATGAATGGAAGCCATTCATTGTGTACAGTTGCCATGAATGGAAGCCATTCATTGTGTACAGTTGCCATGTGATCTGCTGTGATTGTTCACAGCATTCACATAGTACCAACAGCAGCCCGGTACATTGATCTGTCATATGATGTATTCGATGGACACAGCAGGTGACAGATCGTGCTGTAGAACAGCCTTGGAGTGTGCGAGGCTTCATCCTGGGGGGATGTCATATGATGTCCACACAGGATGGCAATGCTCCATCTCACCTGTCATATCATTATAGGTAGAGGAAGCGGTTAAGGACTGTGACTGCTCAAATAGGTTTTCAGATTGACTGGCTGTCCCCTCTTTCTTCAGAATCATTTTTGGGCTGCTAGTATAGGGCCCAATAATGCTAGAACAAGATTTTTTTAGGGAAGCTGTCCTCCAAGATTCTGTGTCTTAAGTATCCTGCAACCCTAAACCCTCTTCTCTGCATTTTTTCAAGATCTGCAATAAAAGGTACAAAGTTCCCTAGACTGAGCCTGAATTTGTTGGTGTGCTTCTGGGACTGCACACAGGGCAGGCAGCCTCTGAACAGGCAAGGGGAACCTACATAATTCCATTGGCCCCCTCTGGGGGTCAGTGCTACATTATTATCACTCCACCAGCTTTGGGACGAGAAAAGGAAAGCAGAGTATGTGTGGCTGGAGGGAGCAGTTTAGTTAGTTTACAATGCTTTGCATTGTATGAGCAAAGTACAGGTTCACTTTAAAAAAGACTCAATGAAATGACAATCCTAGCTTATCTAAAACAACATAAACATATTTATGTCTTGGAATCATTTTTTGAATGCCATCCTTGCTGCTATAATTTATTTTTTAGTATAGTTGATAAAATATCTCGGAAGTATTTAGGAACATCTAACGAGTGTTTTAGGTCTCTGTGCATTCAGCCATTTCTGCCAGGCAAACAGACTCAATGGTGGCTCTCCCATGCTTTACAGTGTTTATGAAAAGGGTCTTTGTTTAGTACAAGTCTGTAATTTCAGGTAGATGCTGCTCTTTTCCCTACCTTGTTCTAAACGATATCTGCCGCTTCTCACATTACTTGCATTTGCTGACCTATTTCTGAACCGGTTGGTCAAACTACAAACAGCTCTTTTAAAGTGGCTGTGGTATGTGATTTTAGTAACAGACTTGAAGATGTCTTTTTGTCACAGGTAACATTCACGTTTCACTTAACTACACCTGATGATTTGGATAATATGGGACTTTGTGATTACTTCATTCACAGAGGGGCTCCTTGTGGATGTTGATACGTTTTAGTGTATCGGCCAAACATCCTTTATGAACCACACTGTGATCATCAATGGAGCATTTTCATGTTAAAAAAAAGGGGGGAATGTATTCATTTGGCAAAGTGCAAATGGGAGTGCGGAGTCTTTAGTATGAGAATAATTGCTGAGTACCTTTTCAGTTTCCTCAAGATTACCTTAAATTGAAGGTTTTGGAGTGTAAACCTGTACATCAATATCACCATCAAAATGGCAGTGGGAAAGCTAGATATGGTCTGCTAATGATAGCATTAAACACATCAAGCTTTGAAATTTACATACTACATATAAAAATGGAAAAGCATGAGATATGAGCAGTAAAAAAAAAATACCAACTGCCATTGAGAACATCCAGGTTTGTTGATAGCACCACTAGGCATCACACTCCAATTGTGCTCTATGACTGCATTTAAGGTTTCACTCCCTGATTCTGTTGGCAAGACCCGTCTGCTCAGCATTTAGGAAACATCCTCTCTACTATTCACATCCCCAATGACCACACCTGGGCGGCCAGTGGCAGCTACATTTATCCAAAGAACTACTGTTTCTAAAGGGTCCATTGAGAAAACAGCAGTATGGCCATACCGCTCCTCCTAAAAAACAAAAACTACCGCACAATAGTAAAGTACATGCCATGCTTTATAAATGTGCATTGCGCTCTGCTGCTTTTGGGACTCCAAAGTTGGTGGAGTACAAAGAAAATTAATGAAATAAAAAAAAAAGCCTATCATAGTTACATGGCTGGCTCTTCACCAACTATGAAGTTCTCTCTCCCACTGCAGACTCCACATCGCAGTCCACTTCTTATGAATGAGCTGTAAAATGTGGGCCATAGTGTATAATACAATACACTATAATTATATTATAATATAATATAGTATAATTGAGAGTGGATAGCATAACAATATCTGCTTTCTGTTATAAATTGCCCCTAAGAGTATTAAGTATTAGTCTGTCAACCTTTCATGGCTGCTCACAGTGAATACATCAGGTGTTGTAAAAAAGTATAATGCACTTCAACGTATACTGTATACACTGTACCATTGGTCTCCAATTAGTCAATTAACTGGTTGTGAGGTCAGTCCATAGAGTTAGTGCAATAAAGTTTCAGTACACTCAAAAAGTGATATGTTAGTCATAGGCGAAGCTGAATGGGTTGAGTTATTTCCTGGTTTTGTGTAGTTCTTTGACACTTCAAAAAGAGATAATCCCACCATAATTCATGACTTTCAGATATTCCTGCCCACCTTTTGGGAGTTCTTCTCCACCTTTACACTTTCCAGCTCCCCATTGCATTCTGTATGTAGTTATAAATAAATAAAAAAAACAAGGTGAGTGCCCCTCATAACAACTACAGCAAGGGCATAAACCTGGGAATTTTAGGCTAGAAATTGTATATAACCAAGAGGGTCTACAAGATACAGTATGTATAGGAGAAAATGTCAGGTAGTTTAATTAAGCATGGTCTACTAACAGATAAAATATCAGCCTTGGGTAGGCTGACCCTATTATTGAAATTGATATTTCACGTGCAGTAAATAAGTCAGAATTACTAAAATATGTTACTTTGCTATATTGTACATTGTAACAAAGGTGCTCTAGACCTTCCTAATAAGACCTAAAGACTAGACAAAGATTGTGTGGTCTCTGGCTGTCTCTGGTTGTGTGTTAATTGTTTTAGCCAGAAAGACCCTGTTTTCAGTGAGATATAAGAAGCAGTAAGGCACAATCACTGTGTCATATATCTACGGAGGCGGAGGC